TAATGGCAAATATTATGACGTAATAACATCAGATTTATAGATGACATTAGTTCAATGTCTGAAATATATATCCTTGCTTTAAAGAAATCATATTATGAAATTTATTATTCTGGTAATCTATCAAGAAGATGTTTGGGATGTGAAGAACTAAAGGATTTTTTTTCAAATTAGCTCCATATTTTAGTTGATACTTCATTTTTATCTGAGTAATGAGATCATAATTATCTTATTTGAAAAATAATGGCTGTAGTTTTAAGCAGAAAAGCATTTAGCAGAAAGCACTCAGAATTTTCGTTCTGAAAAAGAATTACTTTGTTTGCCTTTCTATTTCAAATGACAAGAAAATGAATCCTGTGACTTAAACATTTCAAAACACATTAGACTTCCACTTTGCAGGGAGTGTTGAAAAGAAGTTAATGGAAATTGGGGAATTTAGCAATAGATATTTTGAAAAACTAATGCAAATTTTGAAATAGTTGCTTAATCCTGCTTTCCCCCCATAACCTTTGATCCCATTCACCCAAGTGGTATATCTAGCTGCCTCTTGAATACATTCAATGTTTTGGCCTCCACTACTTCCTGTGGTAATGAATTCCACAGGTTCACCACTATTTGGGTGAAGAAATGTCTCCTCATTTCCGTCCTAAATGGTCTACCCCAAACAGATTATGACCCCTGGTTCTGGACACACCCACCAGCGGGAACATCCTCCCTGCATCTACCCTGTCTAGTGCTGTTAGAATTTTATAAGTCTCTTTGAGATCTCCCCTCATTTATCTGAACTCCAGCGAAAACACTCCTAACCTAGTCAATCTCTCCTCATATGTCAGACCCACCATCCCCGGAATCCGCTGGTAAACCTTTGCTGAACTCCCTCAAGAGCAGGAGCAACCTTTCTAAGAAAAGGAGACCACAACTGCACACAATATCCCAGGTGTGGTCTCACCTGCAACAACGGGTTGCAACAACTGCAACAACACATCCTGCTCCTGTACTCTAAACCTCTCACAATGAAGGCCAACATACCATTTCCCTTCTTTACCACCCTCTGCACCTACATGCTTACCTTCAGCGACTGGTGCACAAGGACACCCAGGTCCCGCTGCACACTCCCCTCTCCCAATTTACAGCCATTCAGGTAGTAATCTGCTTTCTTGTTTTTGCTGCCAAAGTGAATAACCTCACATTTATCCAAATTATACTGCATCTGCCATTGATTTGCCCATTCACCCGACTTGGCCAGATCATGCTTAAGGATCTCTGCATCCTCGTCACAGTTCGCCCTCCCACCCAACTTGGTATCATCTGCAAACTTTGAAATGTTACATTTTGTTCCCTCATCCATATCATTAATATATACTGTGAACAGCTGGGGTCACAGCACTGATCCCAATGGCACCCTACTTGTTACTGCCTGCCAATTTGAAAAGGACCCATTAATTCCTACTGTTTGTTTCCTCTTTTCCAACTAGTTTTCTATCCATCTCAATACACTTCCCCCAATCCCAATGCACTCTAATCTTGTACAATAATCTCTTGTGTGGGACTTTGTCAAACGCTTTCTGAAAATCTAAAATACGACATTGACTAGCTCACCCTTGTCAACTCTACTGGTTACATCTTCATAAAATTCCGACAGATTTGTCAAGCATGATTTCCCCTTCATAAATCCATGCTGACTCTGTCTGATCCTGCTGCTGCTTTCTAAATTCTCCACTACAAAGTCCTTGATAATGGATTCGAGAATTTTCTCTCTTACCAATGTTGGGTTTACTCGTCTATAATTCCCTATTTTCCCTCTGCCTCCCTTTTTGAATACTGGAGTGACATTAGTTACCCTCCAATCTGCAGTGATTTTTACATAACTTTTTGAAACATTGAAAAGAAATAGCTGATCATTTGGGGGAGAAAAATGACACAAATTAATCAATATATTACAGATAGTGTTGTAAGTTAATGAGTTTTAAAGGAAAGTGCAAAAACTAGAAAAGAAAACAACTAGTCTCCAAATCCAAAATACCTAGAATTGAGGTTATGATTGGCTGACAATAATACCATTTAATGGGCATTCATTGTACTGATATGTCACAAATCAATTCAATAATATTTGAGGCATCTTGTTAGAATCTATAACATGTGGTGCATGAAGTAAGAGTTTAGACTTCCAGTGTAATGATTTTGTTTTTCATCTGGTGATTTTTGAATGAGACTCATAACGTTGACCAGTTAGTAGGATGAATTCTTTACATAAATTTTGAATAATGTTATTTATTTGACAGTTTCTTGAGCATCTAAAAGCCTCCCCGGTATTATGTGAAGGCTTGAAAGACCTGTACATAATCGATAGTGGGGTATTAGCATGGGAGGTAAGGTGGTAAGCAGGGCAGTAAGTGCGCTTGGGACATAGAGTGGGGCTTATGGAATGAACTAGTGTGATATTGAAGAGGCATGGAGATGTGACACAGCATGGGAATGAGGCAGCATGACCTAAGGGCAGGGAGCTGAGGGGTATGGGACCTCATTCATCTACAGAATGGAGCTCATGTTCCCATCACAGAGACAGGCTTTCTAAGCTGCCCACATTGAACACACCCACTCTGATTTCTGCCTCAGGGCTTTGGGAGGAAGCAGCACCAACTCCAGTACCACCCTGACATGAGAACAGTCTGAGTGGGCACTGTTGGGCATTCCCAGAAACACCCTCTGATGAATCCTGGTGCTGATGGGACAGCTGGGAGCTGACAGCCAATCAGATTCACCGGAAACTCTGGAGGGTGGGACTTTCTCCCATTAAGGGGCTGATATCCCACTGTCAGCCGGTTCAGCCCCCAAGCTGCTGGGTGGGGTTAATTCAATTAGATCTGTCAGCTGATTTATACATTTCAGGGTAGGCAACAATATACCATACCACCCACCCCCATCCATGAAATCCAGCCTTACAACTGAATTGACAAAGGTCAGCAATTTGTAAAGTATTTGGCATTCTGTAGTACATTTACATACAGGAGGATCGTACAATGAACGAAAACAAAAGTTGCTAGAAAAGCTCAGCAGGCCTGGAAGCATCTGTGAAGAAAAATCAGACTTAACATTTCGGGCCCACTGACCCTTCCTCAGAATAGCTTGATGAAACTTGAGACTCATAACTTCATAGTATGTGAAGATCATCAATATTGTAGGTGTATAGGTAGTAAATAAAGTGAGGACTGCCAGCACATGATTATTCATTTATTGATACACATTCCACATGGTAACATTTTGATGCAATGAGCAGTTCTCTCTGACGATGTGGAGTTATACCTTTAGAGGTTTCTTGCACCAAGCCTTGTGAAATATGTCATTTGTCTGCCAAACATATAGGTTCAACCTGTCAATTTACAGCATTAAGTGCTGCCATACCATGAAAACACCGATATTTTCCAGATCCGGGAGGGGGAGGGGTTTTAGAGTTTAAGGGTAAAGTATCAACCTTTAGCACTGAGATGAGGAGAAATTTCTTCATCCAGGAAGTGGTGAGCCTGTGGAATTCACTACCACAGAAAACGGTTGAGGCCAAAATATTATGTGTTTTCAAGAAGGAGGCAGATATAGCTCTTGTGGCTGAAGGAATCAAAGAATATGGGGGAGGGCGAGATTAGGGCATTGAGTTCAACGATCAACCATGATCATAATGAATGGAGCATGCTTGAAGAGTCGAATAGCCTACTTCTGTTCCTATCGTCTAAGTTTTTATGTTTCTATATTGGTTCTGAAGGAACATTTTAGTGAAATGCAGTCAGGAACGTTTGTGAATTATAGCATAGCAACTGGTTAGTTTCACAAGCCAAGGACCTGAACGTCTCGTAGGGCCAATGGAAATGTTGGTCTTTATTGGAATGTCAGACTTTGTGAATAGAGCTAATTGATGTCTTCTCCATTGCCAGGGCTGGACTCTGCTCCAAATTGTAAACTTCTAGCCCCATCCCCATAACAATTCTGTAATTAAGTCAGACATCACACAACACCATGTTATAGTCCAACAGATTTTTTTGAAATCACAAGCCTTCGGAGTGCTGCTCTTTCATCTGATGAAGGAGGTGCACTTCGAAGGCTTGTGAGTTCAAAAAAACCTGTGGGGCTATAACCTGGTGCCAAGTGATTTCTGACTTTGTCCATCCTGTCCAACACTGGCACCTCTACATCAAATCTGTAACTCAAACAGGGGGAATTTCAAGGTAAGTATCACAAGAAAATCAAAGTCAAAAACAAATCCAAAGGAATAAGGAAATATACGAAAAAGACTGGGGATCAGCAGAGATAGCAATGGCAGTAGTTTAGTTTAACCACATCAGAAGCATGAGGAGGCAGATAAACAGAAATGAAAAAAATTGGTCAGGCTGTATTTTGGTTACTTATAAAGGATTGTGATGGAAGGACAGAGGAGCATAGGGAGGAATCATGTGAGGAAGAATAACCTTGTAGAGTTTGTCCTGCCCTATTACAAATTTACTATTAATTCCTACTTATAATTATTCCATATTTAAACATTAATGATGTGTGTATTCAGAATAGTGTCACTACTATCATCAAATTCTCATTCATCAATTCAGCTGCAGTGGTTCAAAGTAACTCAACCCAGTGTTGTGATTTTAAACTACTTCAGGCATCCTTATTGATATCTTCCAGGGGCAGGTCATTCTTAAAGTCCTTTATTTATGGCTTTCTTGGTCTTTTTGTTCCATGTTCCTCTGTGTAACTTTCCATGAAAAGTATTCTGGCTGTTTGCATTCTTCAAATGTGCACGAAGTATCACAGTTATCTTTCATGGATTGTCTTTGTAAGTGTTGTATCTCATCTAAGTCAGGTTTCCATTTTACCACTTTTGCAGATTTCTAGTATTCTTCTTCATCAACTCATCCAAATTCAGCTCATCTCTTTGTTAATATTGTTTGCTTGTCAACTTTTCTTCACATTTTTATTTATTCACTTTCAGAATAATGTATTACTATAGTGGACTCAATGAAAGTTTATTGCACATTAACCACTGTACATCAATATGCTTGAGACATGTCTATAATGATAGTTAATGCCTCTATTTGCATCAGTATAATAGTCATGTATTTTCAGTACAACATATTGGATAATAGTTTTTTTTTAAAAAATCAACTTTCAGAGCACTGACAGAGTTATGATAAAGTTAAGCACAAGTCTGAGTGTGATTTATATCTCTGGGTAGATAATGACATGGAAAGTGCTAGTTTATTAAAGTTTGTTAGATTGGTCCTTCCTTCCCCCTTAAAAAAAATGATTACTTTAATGTTTTTGGTCCAATGGCATAAATAATTTAGATTAATAACGAGATTAAACTTAAATCAGAAAGTTCAAAGTGTTATTAATATCAACCAAATGTCCTTTTACACACAGACAGTTACTAATCACATGACGATAAGTCAGCATGTAAACTACTATCAAGCAGAAGTATACTCTTGATGAGTTAAACATCATCAATTGCTCCATTTTGGCAGCTGTTAGTTTGGGAAACAACCTATAATCTCATACAGTGAATGAGAAGCTGTTCAAAGGATTCAGAAACTAAATAGACTGATTGTTAATTCAGTAATCAGTAGAAAGATGAATGTTCTGTTCCAACACAATGAGGAAATTGAAGCAATAAGTTAAGCAAAATTACCAGAGATTCTCTTCACACATTACTGTTCTAAAACAAAACAATCGTGATTATCTACCTCTCACACAATGGCCTAGTGGTATAATCACAGGACTATTAACCCAGAGACCCAGGTAATGCTCTGGAGACCCTGCCATGGCAGATTTAATAAAGTGTTTGGAATTAAGGGTCTAATGACCAAGAAACCATTGTTGATTGTCGGAAACCCATCTGGTTCAGTAGTGTCTATCAAAGGAGCTGACTGCTGTCTTTATTTGGTCTGACATGTGACTCAAGATCCACAGTAACGTGGTTGACTTTTAAGTGCCCTCTGGGCAATCAGGGATAGGTAATACTTGTCCAACCTCATGGACGCCCACACCTCATGAATGAATTAAAGGAACCTGAGAAACCATTTACAAAAACTTTGAGGGTAAAGGTTCTATTTTGAATGCAATCAGCAACCCAGATCCAAATCATGGCCAAATTAATATTCATTTTGAGAACCTTTTTCTTCCACTCTCATATTTCTTTTCAAACTTATTTGGATACAACAGAACAATTAGGCAGTTTTTTAGAATGGATTTTGGTTTCAATGTTTCTGCTTTAAAAAAAAATTCCTTGATATATTGGCAGTGGAAGTGATGCTCTGCTCCTATGATGCTGCTTGGCCTGCTGTGTTCATCCAGCCCTGCACCTTGTTGTTTCGGATTCTCCAGCATCTGCAGTTCCTACTATCTCTGAAGTGATGTGTTAGTCCACTTTGATTAATACAGTTGAAAATGCATCTGTCACAAAAGAATAAACATTTTAATCAGTATCTAGTCCAACGGCTTTGTGAAACCCAATTTCAATCATTGAAAATGTCTTCCAAAAACTACTCTATATTTCCTTATATATTGATGCAAAGTATTCAGTTCCTTAGTAAATAAAGCAAATGATTTCAAAGGATTTGAAAATATTGTTCTTGTACCTGAATAAGTGATTAATTCTACAGCCTCCTTTAAGAATTATCAATGGGCACATGGCGGCTCAGTGGTTAGCGCTGCTGCTTCAGAGCGCCAGGGTCCTGAGTTTGAATACACCCTTGGGTGACTGTCTGTGTGGAGTTTGTACATTCTCCCCTTGTCTGTGTGGGTTTTCTCTGGGTGCTCTGGTTTCCTCCCACAGTCCACAGATGTGCAGGCTAGGTGGATTGGCCATGCTAAATTGCCCATAGTGTTGTGGGATCATGGGGATGGGTCTGGGTGGAATGCTATGAGGGTCAATGTGGACTTGTTGGGCCAAAGGGCCTATTTCTGCACTGCAGGGATTCTATATGGTTTTAAAAAAAAGCAGGCCTTGACCAGTGGTATGGTAGTGATTGTGGAGGGTTTCAACTTCCCCAACATTAACTGGGATAGTCAGTTACTTTTAGATAAGTCTGTATCAGAGCAGTGGTATGCTTTCAAGAAGGAAATAGGGAGTTGACAGAGTGTACAACATGTTCCCATGAAAAATAAAGAGTTGGACCAACAAATCCAATGAAACCTGGATATACAGGATCAAATAAAGAGAAAAAATAGAGGCTTTCGGCAGGTAATGAGTATTCAAAACAGCAGAGCCCTGCAGGAATACAGAATTGATAAGGGGAAACTTAAAAAAGGAAATTAGAAGAGATAGTGGCAGTTAAAATAAAGGAAATTTCTAAGTTGTTTATAAGGACATTAAGGGTAAAAACATAACTGCAGAAATAGTGGGGCCCATTGAGGACCAGAGTGGTAATTTATGTGCGGAGCTGAAGTGTGAATCCTTTGTGTCAATGTTCACTTTAGAGAGGGAGGATGTGGATATAGAAATCAGGGAGAGGACGGTGATATACTTAAATAAATTAGCATTGACACAGAGGAGGTTCTAAGTATCAGAGATAGTAGGAACTGCAGGTGCTGGAAAATCTGAGATAACAAGGTGTAGAGCTGGATGAACACAGCAGGCCAAGCAGCATCATAGAAGCAGGAAGGCTGACGTTTCAGGCCTAGACCCTTCATCAGAAATGGGGGTTCTGAATATTCTGGCTGCCTTAAAAGTAGATGAAATGCATCACAGGCTGTTGAGTGAGACAAGGGACGAAATAGCTGGTGTGCTAGCTACAGGAGAGGTGTCAAGAGGACTGGAAGACAATATGGTACCGTTATTCAAGGAGGGCACAAGGATTAAACCAGGAAACCATAGGCTAGTCAATCTAACTTCAGTGGCAGGGAAACCATTGAAAGCAATTCTGAGGGAGAGAATTAGCCTGCATTTGGAGAGGCTGGGATTAATCAAGAACAGTCAGCATAGTTTTGTTAAGAGGAGGTCATGTCTAACTAATTTGATTGAACTTTTCAAAGAGGTGACCAGGTATGTAGATGAAGGTAATATATTCATCGGATCGTAAAATCCCTACAATGTGTAAGCAGGCCATTTGGCCTATTGGGTCTGCACTAAGCCTCGGAAGAGTATCCCACCCAGACCCACCACCTCCACCCCCTCCACCATATCCCTGTAGCCCTGCATTTCCTAGGGTAATCCACCTGGCCTGCACATCCCTTGACACTGGGCAATTTAGCATGGCCAATCCACCTAACCTGCACATCTTTGCTCTGTGGGAGAAAACTGGAGCAACTAGTGGAAACCCATGCAGACATAAAGAAAAACTGCAAACTCCACACAGACAGTCGCCCAAGGCTGGAATTGAACCTGGGTCCCTAGTGCTGTGAGGCAGCAGTGCTAATCACTGAGTCACCATGCTGCCCCCTAAATTTGATGCAGTCTACTTGGACTTCATTGAGGCTTTGGATAAGCTTTCTTTGTTTTCAATGTTGTTCAATAAATTTCAGCTGTTTGAAGACTTTCCACCATGTGATGCTCCCTCACTGAACAATGACAAAATGTTCAGCTGTGCTGGTGTTAGGGAAAATGTAGCACTCCCTTAGACAGCATGCTAACACAATATGGTGCCAAGGACAGGTAGCCTGCATAGCTTCATTCTTGTAGCTGCATTTACGGTTAGAATTAAATTAGATTTTATTGGCACATGTGCTCAGGTACAGTGATATAGGAGTATAGTGAGAAGTGTATAAAGTCACCATTCCTAGCAACATCTTAAGTACAAAGTAGAAAAGTAAAGAAATAAGTTAAAAGCTAAACTTTACAGTTGTTCTTAGCATGAAGTAGAACAACAAAGAAATATAGTTAAAAGTTCAGCATTGCGGTCTTTTTTTAGCCAGCAGCCTGCAGACTCTCCTTGCTAGGCTTTCCCACGAGGCCTCATTCCCCACAA